GCGCTGGCTACTGGTTACTGGCTACTGTGGCTATGAGTCGCTGCTGGGCTTTGGCTGCTGCTGCTGGAGAATCCACTCGGGGCAAAACCAGAGACCAGACATCGGCGGTCTTGCTTCTCTCGCGCTGCCTAGGTAACGGCCGCCGCCGTCTCCAGGGAGGCAAAGCGAGAGAGACGAAGCTGGGGCTGGGGGTGGAGGAGGAGAGGGCGACGCTACCCACAGGCGCAGGCATGAGGTGCAGCAGGGCCTTGGCTCTCCCGTTACGCGGTAACGATACCGTCAGCCGGCCCTCTTTCTCTCTCTCTGGTGCCAAGACGGCGGCAAGGCTGGTACTGCCCGTACGCAATGCTGTAATTTATCTTGCAGCAACTCCAGTATGTAATCCGCCAGCCGGAATACGAGGGACCTGGGATGCAGGCTTCTTTTTCGCAGTAACGCTGAGATAGCTGCTTCAGTGTCAGCGTGCTTGCTGCAAAGGCCAGGCTTCTCATACAGGACGGAGCAGACGCCGCCGCTGTTGCAGCTTCGTGCATCGGAGCTCAGGCTGTTCCAAGGAGAAGCTTTGGAGATCGTCAGGGCTGGGCTGCTTAGTCATCAAGGTACATCACGCTCAAAGAAGACATTTCATACACGGTTGGTTACGCTTCATTCAGATTCTAGTAGTAACAAGTATCTATCAAGGGTATACACAGAACAGAGCATAGGTAGTGATGTAAATACCATCAGTGCTTCCTTGACCGTTTGCGGCGCTTGCTGCTGCCCTCTCGGATGTCTACCTGGGTGTCTCCGTCGGGATTTCCAGTGCTGTTGGCAGGGACAGCCTCAGCAGTCAACTCTGGCGGCTCTTCAGTACCAAACGTCTGCTTGCGCCATTCTCGCAGTCTAGCCTTCTTGCCCAGACGTTTGTGGTCTCGCTTCTTCTTCTCTGCGTCCCGGAAACTGGCCAGCTTCTTCAGGCCGGCGTACTGGTTCAGCTGAGCGTCGTCTGCCATCAGGATGTCACGGGCAGTCAGGCCGAATGAGACAGGTGACGATTCACGGTAGCGGAAAGTGCCTCCAAACTTCTTTGAGGAACCCGGTAGCAGAGATGGCTCGAGCTCGAGGGACTTGTCAGCCAGAGCCTCGATCTTTCGTCGTTCTCGTTTGGCTTCCTTTTGCTTATCTTTCTTTTCCTGGAGCATCTGCTTCTTGGACTTCTTCCCTCCTCCACTCTGGCTTTCTCCTTCAGCATCCTCGTCTTCATCTTCATCATCCATGTCGATGTCCACGTCTAGCTCCTCGTCAAAGTCAGGCACAAGGTCACCAATATCGATGTCATCATCCCATTTAGGCTTCTTTAGCCTGCGCTTCTTCGAGGAGCCGCCCTCCTCCTCCTCCTCCTCACCACTTTCATCCTCTTCCTCATTCGCGGCATAATACTCATCTCCAAACCGCCGCTTCATCTCCTTCTCCCATTTCTCATCATCCCATCCTTCGTCAAGGAACCTGCTCCAGTCTTCATCCGCAAAGTCACTGCTCTTTACACCGGCTGCCTTCTTTATCTTGGCAAGCTTCTCTTCAAGCTCCTCAATCTTCAGTCTCCGTAGTCTCGCTCGCTCCTCTTCGCGCTGCTTCTTCTCTTCCTCTTTTCTCTGTCGTTCCAGTTCTCGTTGGCGCTTGCGGCCGCTGACCTCTTCCCTTCGGACAGAATACTTGTTTGTGGTATCACGAGCATGTGTGCGTATAACTTCATTGAGCTTATTGGGGTCCTCAAATCGTAGGTTATAAGCTTCCTCGAACTGTTCGGCCTTCTTGTCTTCCTCTTCATCGTCGGACTCCAGGGGTTGGAAGCTGGATTTTGACGTAGGCACCCAGGCACGAGATGCCATAAAGTTTGACAGGAATAGTTCAGGGTCTTGATCAGCCTCCGCAACATCCTTATCTGTTATCGTAGGTCGATCAGACTTGGGCATGGGTACTTTCTCTTTGCGAACCAGGAATCCGTCGTCTTCCTCCTCCTCATCATCATCCTGCTCCCCATTCTCGGCCGTTGAGTGCATCTCCTTAACAATCGACCGTTTCAAGTCTTCCTGCTCCTGAGCGTACGTCTTCGGCGCAGCCTCTTCATCGTCGTCCACCGCGGCCTGGCCACTCAATAGGTTCTGACGATGGTAGTCTTTCAGGTACATGGGTTTTTCCGCCTTGGAGGTTTCCGATTTCGTCCCCTCTGCATTTTCTGTCTCATCCAGGGTAGTGTAAAACTTCGCATTCGGGTCATACACTTTCGGGTCCTTGGATCTTATAGCCTGCAATGTAGCAGCGATTTCCTCATCGAGGGCCTCCGTCACAAGTTCCGCAGCATCATCCTCCTCTTCCGAATCCTCAGAGTCAGATTCTTCCTCATCTTCCTCTTCGTCTGCGGACGGCTTGCTTTTGGAGAGTGATCGTTTTCCCAGCTTGTTCTCAACTAAAAAGTAGCAGGTTAAATTTCGCTCCATGTAAAACATTGGGTGAACGGATCGACACTAACGCTGTACCATCTCCTCTCTCTTCTTGTTATATTCAAAGCGCCTGGCATACTCTTTATTGACATTGAGCTTGAAGTCCTCTGCAACAGCTTCATCTTCTGAACCGCTCTCTGCAAAGAGGACCTTCTTCTGACGCTTATTCGGAGGCTCCATGGCTGCGCGAGAGAGGGACAACCGACTGAACGTCACAGGATCAAAGAGAATACAGCCAACGGGCGCCTCAATGCGTCTTTCTTCCTCCGCCAGACTCGGCCTCCTGCTCTTATCTGAAGTTTTTAATTTTTATTTTTTGTATCCTTGTGGTGGGCCAAATGCCCATGCGGTCTTGACCAATGACGTGGTCAGCCTTAAAGCTCACCGGTTCGCTGACTCATCCAACTTAACCTACTCGAGCTTGATTGACGTTGACATGTTTGAGCAGCCCGAAAAGGTAAAGCCTCGTCGTGTGGTTGCAAAGACATGGCAGCAGGTCTTCCTGATTTACTATATTTCCTTCACATTTATCCTGCCTCCTCTTGCTGATCCCAAGTGCTCTACGGTGGAGGTTTGCTGATCGCTGCTGAATTCCTGGGTGTATCGGGGAGTTTAGATCGGAGGGAGGAAGTCGTCCAGATGGCGTCACAGATACAACTCTCGATACCACAGGAAGGGAAACTGGTGAATGTCGTGTGAGTGCAGACCGTCATGTCTAGACGTTTGAATACGGAACGAAGTAACTTGCTAGGATGAAGCTAACCCTGTAATCTAGACCCGTAGTTTTAAAGGAAGCCGCTCTTGATTCACCGAGTTTTCGAGCTACGACGGTACATTTCTCCGAGCAGATAGATTATATGGAAAGATGGCTCGACAATTATATCAAAACTACAGGGCGGCTTACATCCGAGCTGGCGTCGCTGGAGAACATATCGAACGGAATCCTTGCCCATATCACCTCCCCGCCGAATATCTCCGAAGCCATCCTCGATCAGGACTATGCTCTACTCGCAATGAAACGTTACGGGGAGTGCTTTAGAGATAGCTGGTCTGGAATGATAAATGCAACCAAGCGGTTCGAGGTACAAGTCGCAGAACCTATCAGGGCGTTCATGCAGGGAGACATACGAGCATTTAAGGTTGGATATACAACCCCTATATAGATATATTGCTATTCTCCGTTAACACCTGCCCAGGAGCTGCGAAGGGTTCTCGATCAAACTCAGAAGCAGTTTGATCAGCTACAAGCAAGATACTCCTCTCAGGGAAAATCAAAAGAACCGTCTTCTTTGAGGGAAGATGCATTCCAACTACATGAGGCCAGGAAAGCATACCTCAAAGCCTCCATGGACTTCTCTGTACAAGCTCCACAGCTCAAGGTTGCATTGGAAAAGCTTCTTGTCAAAGTGTTTTTTGATCAGTGGCGAGAATTCCGGGTTGTCAGGGATGCATCCTCAGCTACCTTCACCAAATATGGGCAGGAGATGGAGCGAACAAAAGGATGGACCCATGAGTTGGAGGCAGGTGAGAAGTCTGCTCGCAGAGATCTACTGATTGCAAGAAAACAAATTGAAGAGTCTGTTGAGTATTCTACGAGACCTTCAAGAGAGCTGGACGACTATTCTATATCCACAGTGCCATACCTTGGCTCACACGGACCTGCGTCTGTCAAACTTGCTGAGAGCCATGTTTTCCTACCGGAAAAGCAAGGCTGGCTCAACCTAAGGGTCCTCACGGGAAAGCCAACGAGGACACTCTGGGTGCGGCGTTGGGCTTTTTTGAAGAATGGAATTTTTGGTTGTCTGGTTCAGAACCCTAGGACTGGTGGAGTGGAAGAGAGTGAACGAATAGGTGTATTGCTTTGCAGCATCCGCCCAGCTTTTCAAGAAGAACGTCGTTTCTGTTTCGAGGTTAAGACCAAAAGCAACACAATCCTACTACAGGGAGAGACTCAAAAAGAACTCACAGACTGGATAGGGTCATTTGAAGCTGCTAAACGAAAAGCTCTTGAAAGCCCTAGTTCAGAGATGTCAGCGGCTTCAAAATCGAAATCACCAGACCCAGCGTTTGCAATCTCACAACCCCCTGCCCCTGAATTTGCCGCAGATCCTTCCGACTCTTTGACCCCGAACACCACTGGGGAGCTGCCTGCTGTTGAACGCGGGGTCACCACGCCTTTACTGGATTTGGATGCGCTAGGTGTCAGAAGTAGTGCTGATTTCTCTCACTCTAGACGATCTACCGGTCCAGACAGAGACGCTGATGGTGCTGGTCGGGATCACACTTCAAGGATAATCCAGAAGTTAGATATCCATCGAAAACAAAATCCAAATTCGCCTCTCCTTGTGCCACCTTCGCCTGCGCAACCATCGAGTGGCATTGCTAGCTTGATATCCGCGAGCCATAGTATGTTCCCTGTCACGTCTGTTCCATTTGCAAAGGATGGCAATGTCGACAGCGGTAAACCAAGAGGTGCCTCTAAAGGAGATCGCAGTCACACCTCCCTTGCACCATCAACATTAGTTAACCCCCCTGCGCCTACAAGCATGAGTAGAGTGGCTATTATGGTCAGCGCTGAGCGAGGCATTGGTATGGGACCAGGCGATACTGCAAGCTCGATACCCACTGGAATGATGGCCAATTTATGGGGAAGTTCGCAATGGGCAATGGTGAATCAACTTCAACGAGACGAACCAACTGGAGCCCCTGCGAGTACTTCTAATCACCCCGTAGTACGCTTATCCCCTACCGTTCTTCATTCTCAGACCCAAGCTAACGAGGCAAATTCAGGTTGAAATAACTCCAGATACCCCCTCCAGCTCTACAGGTAACCCCCAAGGTCGTACATCTATGACACGTCATAGGGCTACAGTCAGCCTTGGAGACACTGGAGCATTCCATCCAGATACCGTCACAGCACTTCATGACTATCCATCTTACTATCCACAGCAACTCAGACCCCACAACTCTCAATTTCGCCTACTCTTCCCACATATACCCAGAAACGAAAGTCTTGTTCTTGTTTTCAGGGCTACATTTAGCCCAAATGATCAACAAGATTTCCCAGGAAGAGCGTTTGCAACTACTCACAACATCTACTTCTACAGCAACCATCTTGGGCTTGTTCTAACCACCTGCGCCAATTTACGCAGTATAACCGAGGTTACTGCTGCACCGGGTAGGGATTGTGACTTTTTATATCTCCATGTTGTTCCGGAAAAAGGGAGCGATATTCCTGGACGTTTGGGAGTGAAGACATTCCTGGAGCCCTTGAAACTACTGCAGAGAAGACTGAATTACCTTGTCACCAACGCTGCTCTCGACAATCCAGCGGGCTTAGAAACAGTAATTAACACTCTGATTAAGCTGGAAACCACTGGTCCGACAAGAACACCTAGTATGGACAGTTGGGAAGATGTATCTTTGAACACCCCAGCTGATGACGGTACCATGGTACCAAAACCAGAGAAATTGCTGAAAGCCAGCACATACATTGACCATGACCTGGATATCGATCCCACCAAGCAGAACTCTGCCACACAAGCTTCTCGTATAAGATTGCCTTCACAGCCAGTCATATATGAACCACAAGGGTCCCTTAACCTTGCTGCTGAACAATACGTTAACATGAGCCCCAAAGCTTTGTTCCTCGTGCTTTTCGGAGATAATAGTCCGATTTGGCAGCTGTCTCAGCACCAAAGAAGAGCGCAGAGTATGTGACTCCTATCCTACTGTATGATGTTTTACAGCTAATGGTATGAAGATATCAAGCAAGGGCCCTGGGTCACTTTACCTTCCTCCCATCTTCGACGTGAGATGGCGTATCAAATTCGCATGGTTGATACATTCGGTAAGATTTTCCAAAAACTCTCAATTTTCCCACTCAACTAATATTGTATATCATCTAGGACGATCCCACCTCGCAGACGTCTGTGATTACCAAATCATAGATGTATTTAACGACCACCTTTGCTATGTTGTCACGGACAAACGCACTCCCTGGCATCTACCATTCAAGCGGCAATTTAGGCTCGTTAGCAAAGCTGTCATCACCCATGTTTCCAAATCTAAATGCAAGCTAGCTATATTCACCAAGGTTGAGTGGATATCGCAGCCATATCTTATAAGCAGTAAGTCTCTCAGTATTCCTTCACGCGCTAGGGTTTGCATAGTTAACACACATCAAGGTATAATCGAACGGCAGGCAATGAGGGAGCTAGAACAAAGCTCACTAGACTTGATCGACCTAGTGTCAGACCAAGTAAAACGACTTGGGCCGTATCCTACAACGAAAAGCGCAATCTCCATGTTTGGTAACATTGGCCATCAGACAGAAACTTCCAACATCACAGTTTCTGAAAGGGTTCGGTTACAGCTTCAGCGCCCATTAAAGCAGAGTGGTTTGCTGCCACTGCTACTAGAAACATCTGGATCGTTATTCCAATCTGCAGCATCTTCCTTGATTATCTGGTTCTGGGCCCTGCTTCGATGGATTTGGAAAGTATCTAATGCCAATAAGACTATTCTATTGCCATTGATCCTCAGTCTTCTCGCTAATGGGTTTCACTCATGGCGTGATACAATGGATTGGTGGCAAGAACGCAACGCGGGTAAATTCATGGCCCGCCTTGGTGTTCGTCCAAACGTAGTGATGGGCAAAGCAGTCTATCTTAAAGATTTAAATGACGCTGTTCCGGATTCGGTAGGGATCCAGGGCTTCAATACTAGCATTTGGTTAGTCTTTCCCTACTCCAAATACAGCATTTAGATGCGCTAACATTGAGATCTCTATAGTTTTTCAACATTCCGTGAAGAGAACGGGTTGACAAGAGATAACTTACTATTACCGCCATCAGGCACACCTGCTCAGAATAAAATATCACGTAACGCAGCATACCGGCTCCAACGCACTCGGGAAAGACTTGGGTCCTATCGCCACAACCTCCTTGTTGGCCTAAAGGTGGTGAATAGCATCGAGAAGGAGGTTCTTCACTTGGAGTGGGAGCGATGGCTTCGTCGAGAAACCGGGAGATGCGCCATGCTTGATATAATGCTCAAAGAGCATATACAATATCACGATAATGACGACTATGACGGAGTTTTGGGTATTCGAAAACAGATTTTATCTGGAAACCAGAAGGAAATTGAGAAGTGGTATAAGGAGTATTGTTCGAGTTGCCAGCGGGACCAGGAGAGGATTCATATCAATAATTAGCATCAGCGTCCTTGATCCTTTTCACCACTTTTGATTTTCGGCATTCGTTACGCATCTTATATATACCCTGTTGGCGAACGTGGTGGTTTCATGATATTCAGGGCGGCATGGTTGTTGTTTTTTCCGCATTTTTTTATATATATAATTCAATCCGTCTCATTGTACGACAGCCGTGGTAATCGGGCTGATCAGGTCAAATATATCTAGGCAAACTCTGGATCTTCATTGTTCACTCATGATTTGGCGACCATGTCCATAGTGTCCCTCACAATTAAGACTCTGTAGGGCCCATTTGAAAGTTTGTCTAGTTTTGCCTTGGCTTAGGTGTTCCCTCCATCGTCACGTAATATACGACAGTGCCATCTCCACCCAAGCCTCGATTCACCATTGCAAGTAAAGCTCTCTTCCCTCCCCAAGGCTTTTCCTTTTTGAGCTTTACATATTCTTGCATGCTCTTGGTCGCTTCTTCCAAGTCAACTGAGCCTGGCAGAAAATCCTCAGCCCGACTAGGCAAAGAGTCATGTAGGCCAGCTAGTCGACTTAATGTCCATTTCTCTCCCTGTGCTGTCGGAATTACCCATTCCCTGTCTGCTGGTATGTCTTTCATAGGAATATTGTGCTCCAACAGATACGCTTGTTCATCCGGGTGGATGTAAATGGGTTGGGGAGGGGTGCCAGATATCAAAGGTATGGACTGCTTCTGGGAAAGAGAGAAGGGTTCATGGATTTCTAAATCTTTCCATTGGTGCTGGTGTTCAAGATTATGAAGAATCTCGAGTGAGAGAGCCACGTGAGGTGGGGGGGTTTGTGGTTGCGAGGAAATCAGCGTCGTGACGGCTGAAGGCGCTATTGCTGGATGGTGAATCGACATCTTTGAAATAACCACGCGAGACCCAAGAAATCAACATGGAAGGTCAGCTGCGAAGTTGGCTGAGCCATACACCTTTTAATCTGCCTGCTCAAATAGCGTGAAGGCAGCCGTAAGCTGGTGCTGTCGACTAGTTAATAATAAAAAGTGGAAGAAGGGCGAAAATGAATTAAAGTTTTGATATCGATTTAAACTCCATCTGATAAGCCTTTAGCGCCTATTATGTAATCGATAATTAAGGTACTGGACAGATTTCAAGATCGTCATCGCCCGAACAAGAGGAAGATCAAAGTAACAACAACTCACTTGAGACTTTTTTTGTGCCTCCTGTATTTTATTTCTTGCTTCAGTATTCCTTTCTAGTCCTTTCGTTTTCTCAATTTTTTTTTCGTCATCTTCTCTGTCAATGGGACGGTTAGACTCTTGAGCCCTTTTTATCGATTCACACATCGTCAATGGCGCGTGAGAAACAAAAGGTTCCCGTTCAACGGGTGCCCTCCGGGGGAATCATGCATGCCCCCAAGGATATTCCAGATATGAATATTAATTCAACAAATGGTGCAATTGAACAGTCAGAGAAAGGAAAGCCGATCCAGGCTGCTTCAGAGCCGTCCCAAGCCGGGCTTTTGCAGTTGGTGATCTGCGTGACTGGCATCTATGCATCATTGTAAGTAGCCCTTAGAGGGTATTGTGCTTCCGAAATATAATTCTCTAACACTGCTTGTTGGTAGTCTTTCATGGGGAGTGCTTCAAGAGGCAATCACCACCACGTACTATCCTGTGCATCCACCAACTTCCGCGGTTCCAAACCCCCAAACCGAACGATTTACTTTCTCACTCGTTTTGAATACTATCCAATCCTTTTTCGCGGTCATCACGGGCTCCATGTACCTCTATTTCTCAACTCCTCGCGGGTCGAGCACACCGTCCATATTCCCGACCAGTCGGATTCTCATTCCTTTGGTACTTGTCAGCTTATCGACCTCTCTCGCCTCTCCTTTCGGATATGCCAGTCTCGCGCACATCGACTATGTCACCTTTACATTGGCAAAGTCCTGCAAGTTATTGCCTGTCATGTTTCTTCACCTGACTATTTTCCAAAAACGTTACCCTCTATATAAGTACGGTGTTATTCTCCTCCTTACTATTGGAGTGGCGACCTTTACTCTACATCATCCCGGCACGGCGAAGAAAAGTAGTGGATCTAAGGGACCAAATGCATCGTCTCTGTTCGGTCTCTTCCTTCTCTTCATTAATCTTCTTCTGGATGGCCTTACAAACACAACACAAGATCATATTTTTACGTCCCCAAAGCTTTACGGCAAATTCAGCGGGCCTCAGATGATGGTTGCTCAGAATTTCATATCCACCATTCTCACGAGTGCTTATCTTGTTATCATGCCTCACCTCTCAACGTCTATTCTGCCACTGTTACCTCTACCTATCCCTCCATCTCAAACATCTGAACTCTCATCTGCCATAGCATTTCTCTCCCGCCACCCGCAAGCTACTAAAGATGTCGTTGCCTTCGCTGCCTGTGGTGCAATTGGCCAGCTGTTCATTTTCTATACATTAGCTCACTTCTCTTCCCTCCTTCTGGTCACGGTAACGCTGACCAGGAAAATGTTAACCATGCTTCTCAGTGTTGTATGGTTTGGTCATCAATTGAGTGGAGGCCAGTGGGTGGGTGTTGGTTTGGTATTTGGCGGAATTGGAGCCGAGGCCTGGGTTCAGAGGAAGGAAAAAGAGAAGAAGCTCCGTGAGAAGGCTAAAGAGGGAAAATCCCTTTAGATACATATCCACCAGGACTGCTGCCCACTGGAGAACTTACGACGTTATTCCCATGTTAGACTCCGGCGACCCCGTGGACCTTTCCAATTCATATACCTCCTTCTGCCCCCACATTCTTTAGACAAGACGTTTCATTTACAATAGACTAGCCTTCACATTCATGTATATAGTTGATTTATAGGCTTCAATACCCTAAATTATATATCTGTTCAGACTAATGCAGCCGATGTTGGAGAATCATTTTTGTATCATTTGCTTATTTCCTTCCCTCTACCATGATAATATGGTAACCAAATCCTGTCTTCACTTCGACATATTTGGGGTTTCCTGTTGTGCTTGGTTCTAATTCGTACGCTGCTTTCTCAAACGCAGCATCCAAGCTGCCCCTAACTTTCCACCCGAGTGATCCACCTATATATAAGAGGTCGTGTCAGAAGGTACTCATTATGCAATATGCAATATCCAAACAAGCAAGCTGGAGCATTGAACTTGTCAGTCAAATTGTACCTTGTCTTGCCTTGTCCTCCGAAAACTCTCGAGCAACGTCATCAAACTTGGCTCCTGCTCGTAATTTTTCCAGGGCCTCTTCCTTCTTCGAGTGTTTCTCGCACTGTCCACGGTATATAGTAAGTAAATAGTCAAGACTCGAGCCAGCCTTCCCTGCCTGGATATATGTATAACCAATTGGGTACATGTCTCCCCACAACAGGTGTAGTGACTCGGGTAAATCGGATATATTCACGACGTACAAGAATATGTCGAACGTTTATAGAATTAGCTGCCTTCAGTCCTTTCCCTTTGCCACTGTCTGAACTTTCTGATTCTTTTCCTTTCCCCTTGCCTTTCCCGCCTGCACTCTTGCTATCACCTCCCTTGTTCTTTGGCGCCATTGGCAGAGTGTGGAAATAAGGATTACTGGTAGCAATAAAAGGGTACTATGTGGTATATTTGCAAAATCAGGTATAAGTATAATAGTTTGATAATAGCTTCGGTAGTAGCAGGTGGCCAGTGGAAGAATCTCGCATGCCTTGACTTTGATATGATTGTTGACGAGGAGGTGGAGTTGAAGCCCACCAGCAGCTGACTAATAGATTTAACTAGTTAACTAGTTAACTAATGAGTTAAAACTGTGTGCCTAGCAATTATTTACTTGGACATTCCAAGGGTTCCTATAGACCTAGGTAGTCAAGCAATCAGTTAACTGCTCAACTAGCTATCATATCCTCTAGAGTATTCCATGTACAGCGTAGATGGAGAGTGTCTCTGCTTCAGAAGGATCTAAGAAACCAAAAGGCCTCAAGTACAGTGAGATCTACTGTGATACGAAACTGTTAAGGACTTCAAAATATGTTTCGTCTTTACGCAATATTCAGCCTGCTTTCTATATATATCGAACGAATAGAGCGTTATTATGTCTGAAGGAGTTGATATTAGGTATCTTTTCTAGGAATTAAACATTCCGGTGATGGCTCACACGCCAAAGCAAACGAGAACATAATATATACATCGAAATTTATAAGCCATGTAGAAACAGCTCCTTAAAATAAATCCAAACTATGGCACCTATTATAATTTATGGCAATTCATGATGTACTATATCATCACCAACCCTGCCGGTCGGCTTTCCCACCGGTATCGATCCGAGCATCTCGCTGGCAGGCCGCTTCTGGGGATCGTTTGTCTCACTAACGACAGGAAGTGAGCCCGGTACTTCGTCGTGCATCTCCGGTGGTCCAGGGGGTGAGTACTTATTCGAGTCCTTGCCGCTGACCATTGGGATGACTTTATCCGAATTCCGCCGCCGTCGAAGTAGTATAAGAATATATACCGCAGCCGCGATAGCAATTGAACCAAGAGCCACGCCTGTCCCAATGCCTGCTTTCGCACCGGTACTGAGGCCCGCCTTCTCATGACTAATGGGTACCGGGCCGGTTGCAGTAGGTTCCAGTGTTCGCGTTACTACAACAGTCGCAATCGTTGGTACAGAGCTTTCTGATGCCGATGTTGACGTGGCAGTTGTTAATGTAGTATAGCTCGAGGTTGACGTGCTGGTGATGGTGGTATATAGTGTGGTTGCCTCGTCACCGTCACCATGGATAAAGAACGCTTGAGATCTTGCAAACAATGTCTCATCCACATACCACTCGTTGGTTTGTTTTCTGAGGTCGAAATGGAATGGCGACCATTTAAGGTCCTCCTTTGGTAAGAAGGTATCTACATGGGTGTTGTAGGACGATTTTATATCTTTTATCCCCTCTGAATGAATTTGTCAATATTTCCCAAACTTGTAATAACTGACTGCATCTGACATACCAAATACTGGCCATACGACTGGGCAGTCTGGATCTTCCGACACTAGCCATATATTGTATGCATCTGCTTTCCCAATACAAGTTTTGATCTCTTCATCCGACCATCCTCCAAACTGTATCGGAAGCCCTTCTTCCCAGGTATAATTAGAGCGCTGACCCACTGATGGCCCATCGATGCGCACTGGACGGCAGTCCAAGGCCAAACTGTGTATGGCGTTATGCGATAGCAAGAATAGTATATGAAGGAAAATGCCCATTTTCGCTATGGACGATGAAATGAAAAAAACTTACTGTCCACAACAAGGCCACCTTGGGGTCCAAATATAAAAACAACAAAAAGGGGCTGAGCTACTTGCTGGGTATCATGGGTATTTCATGTGCAGGGGATTGCAGGAAATAACATAAAACATCCATGTCGCGTCATATTGGGATGCCCAACTAGATGTTGCGCTGTGCATGATAAATGTTGGTTTGATGGTCGGTCACCACTAGGTTGCCAACATTTCCCGTTCCAACCTCCAGCGAAGCCCAAAGGATCGAAAGAGATGGATTTGATGCTATGGGTCTCATATAGAGAATAAAATAAAGCCCCGCTAGAGCGTTTCCATTCTGATACCGTTGCATCGTTGTATAATATTTCACTGGAAGTGCAAGTTGGATATTGCTATGTATAGCAGGCAACTGAAACCACTGCGGCATCCCTTATCCCATTCTTGGAACTAGTGAACAATTGTCGTGCTTATTGGTGAATGGCCCCCGGCACCCCAGCATCCCGGAACTGATCGGCCACAGGGCATGTAGTAATAATACCCAGATGCTATGCCAAAGCGAGGAGATTGCCACATCATTCTAGCAATCTGTCGAGACATCCCATTGCATGACCGTGGTTTTCTTGCGGGGACAAACAGCCACACTGGATGGCTTAGTAGTGAAACTGGTCAAAACGGCCGTTGGGACCTAAGTTAGGTACAGTCCTTTCCCAGATCCCTTTCCTTAGGCGCGTGGTATTTTTGACAAGGTAACTACTTTACTTACTCCGTGCAGCCCGAGATATCTAGGGAGCCACCGTTGTGATCTCGTATTTGTTATGCCTGTGGTTAAGAAAAGAACTGGCAGGGTTGCTCACGAGAACAGACCAACCGCTCCCAGGCTCGATAATAGCAGCGAATATCACTGCTACCCTCCGAGAGCATCCAAAGGCCTTTCGTAGACACCGAAAACGGGGGAGTCCTTCTAGAAGTGTGTAGTGTCAAGCTTCTCTTCCAACCGTCGCGTTGATGCACGCTGGCACAGGGACTACCTAAGTGTGATGAAATTGCATGGCCCCATATAAATCGAACGAGATCCAGGGGAGATAATGCTCGCCTTTTACATCGTATAAGAGCATTCGCTGACGGTGCCTGCGCGCTGGTAATAATTCACTCTTGAGTCGTGCTCGACGATGATTTCTGCGTGGTAGACATTGTTAATATCCCGCGCGGGTTTCCCATGACGGACCGAGCCATGTCTCGCTCATCCTTTCAGGCTATTTTCATCAAGTTAACAGAGTCGAGAGCATCGAAAAAATATCGACGACTCAAGGAAGTTGAGCAAAACAGAAAATATTCAACGTGATGGATATCAACAAACCCGATCGGACATGTGACCAACCAAAAAAATGCTTAAATACTAACGAACAGCTTCACAGCAAACAAAAACTTTCATGAGAATAACACGTCTGCATCAGTAAACTGTCGTTTACAGTGCAACTTGTTGTATAAACTATCAAGACAACCTAGCCAAGTTGCGTAACTACCACAATCATATCCAAGGAACTCGCGGAGTCTGATATTATGAGGAATATGGCGGAGGGGCGACTAGATGGCCCAGGAGGCTTGGAGAGGTACAAAATCAACCAGCTCCCGGACACAGCATATTATATTCCCAATTTCATTTCCGAGGACGAGGAGGAGATGCTTTTAAGCAGAGGAGGTAGCTTGTCTGTCTTGATACATGAAGATCGTGGGTGGTGAAAAAGTCGAGTTAATGTTTACCAGAGTTACTAATACTTATACAGATAACATCTGTTCCAGTCCCTAGATGGACACAGTTATCCCGGCGGCGTCTACAGACATGGCCGTCTGCGCTCAGTAAATCCAATGCCCTGCTGGCCTCACCGCCACCAGCCTGGCTGGAGAGTCCTATTGCTTCTCGATTTCAAGATCTATGCATCTTTGCCGAGTCTCCTCACAAATCGCCCAATCATGTGCTTATCAATGAGTACCAGCCAGGGCAAGGAATAATGCCTCATGAAGATGGTTCAGCGTACTATCCTATCGTGGCAACAGTGAGTCTTGCAGCACCGATTATCTTAGATATCTATGATAAGAGGCCAAACGATCTACCTGCTCCAGAACTCCTCTCAGTGGAGAAAGAGACGGTGAGAAGCCAGATTGCTCCACGATTTCGAATCTTGCAGGAAAGGCGAAGTCTGCTGGTTACCACGGGGACGTTATACTCTCATTTTTTGCATGGGATTGCAGAACGGACGTCCGACGAAGACCTTGGGCCGGACACGATATGTAATTGGGGTAACTTGGGTGACAGCCAGCTCTTCGAAACGGGGAAATACGAAAGACAGACACGAATTAGTCTGACATATAGGGATGTGCTAAAGGTATCAAAGCTAGGAAATAGTCTAAGATTTCTAAGTAAGTGACGGCGATAGGAGGCATCTGTTAGTCTACCATATAAAGGGTAGCATGATCCATCTGTCCTTAACCTTTTCCCTCCCGAACTTCTCGCTATACCACTTCTTCGTAGCTGCTGCTGAAGTACCCAGCTGCACTGCAGTGAGAATCACAGCGGAGAAGATGGTATTGTTGACAATCGATCCTGGGGGTGCAGCAAGGAAGCTTAACGAAAGGTATATCATGCATTCCGCTGTGTAGTGTGGAGATATTATGTTGACGAACGCGGGATGCACCGGGAGGGTATATTTAACAAGGGATGCCAGATACTCGTGGCAGTCATACTGTATTCCAGAAGCAAATATGAACACTGGGATAAAGATCAACGACCTCAGGGAAGGCGCCGTCAGAGCAGCATTGCCCAATGGACTATTAGTTGAGAGTAGAGTTGCTTTAAGTTTCAAGTTAGATCCGCGTTCAATCAAATATAAAAAGGTAGAAAAAATCCTACTGGTTCCTTCAATCCAGATAGCAACTCCCATGACGATGTAATAGGCAAACCCGTAGAGCCAATGCCCGACGTGCATCCTTGCCTGAGAGGGCTTAACAAATGAGAGGCACTCGTAGAGTCGACGGCAGGCCTGGATGGTGAAAAGTGACCAGCAAAGGAATATCTGGTTAAAGGACATTGAACTCTTTCGGGTTTCATGATCTACCATGCTGGCAATGAGCTTAAAGGCCCATCCTCTGGCCAGAAGCTGATACCACCAGAAGAACGCCACGCCGACGGCGCAGTAGTAGAAATGAGTGAAGTAGGAATGCGGCACATCCCAGGTTGCCACGCGGTCCAGGATTCCTGCAATGCCACCCCATGGAGGGACAGTGGCCACTGCCGAAGGTTTGCTACTCGGCTCCTTCGATGCTGGCAGAGTCCGGGCACCATATGAAATGAACCTGTCACGAAGGAACTTGAGACTGTTGACAGCCATGACCTACAAATCAGTCAGTGATTTTACACTCTCGCCCATCATCGACGCCATCTCGTTCTCTTCTCGGTTAAATCTTTGTTACTCCGTATCAGTATCGGGCTCTCGTACACTGGCAGCTAGCACCACATATCCGCCTCTTATCCAGTCGACAAGGTCCATGCCAGCGAGCCCATCCATGCTGGATCGCCGTCTTCTGCAGTAGATACGCCTAGCCCGTCGTCAGATTAGGATATTTATATCTTTAGTCCTCGACGCCGCAGACGAGCATCGACATCGACATCGACAGCACTACTCCGTACAGCGTCTCGATCGATTGTTGTTTTGTTTGCTTTTCGTCCTTCGACTTCGCCGCGCTTGAAAGCCCCAAGCGCCCACGTGACCAGTAACTACTGGACTGTTAGTCAGCCCACCACGCAAATGGCGAGGCAGCAGAGCGAGAGACGCCGCGGCTGCCCAGCGCTTTCGTCTCATCTCGTCTTTCGTCTGGCCTCGTCTTCTCGTCCAGACTGTCGACATAACTCACGCCAGACTTAGTAAATGGATAATTCATTGAAATGCCAGCTTAGCCGCCCCTCCGCGCCCTGCATGTCGCATCTGCCTGGCTGCTCGATGGCGGCCTGTCGCTGAGTAAGCATCCCAAAGCAGCTAGCACATTGCCCGAAGGAGCCTAGCGCCCTCTCTTTTTTTCTCGTCGCAGCAAAAGTTCGTCCGCGAAGGCCAAAACCAACTTCTTCTTCCTCTTCTTCTTCCTCCTTCGCTCCTCGCTCGCTCCCTCGCTGCCCCCCAAAGAAGAAGACGACGACCTCGACGTCCATCCACCACGACACGCTGCCACGACTGGCCTGCAGACCCGATATATCAGTTGATCACTGCACTGCTGCTGCTCTTGAGTCGTTTTGGCTGCCTCGCACCGCGTTTTTGCTGGCCAAAAGCAGCTCCCAAGTGCCCTTTCTAGCGTGCCCCGTCACCAAAGGCAACATCGCCCTCTCGCCCTTTACTGACCTTGCCATCGGTTCCTCGAGCCCTCCTCTGCTGAGGATGCCACACGGCGGCTCGATATCTCCAGTTCAACCGCTATGAGTGATGTTGAAACGGCCTCTTCGCTACCGGAAACCTTGAACTCCTCCCATCAGAGAGCCAATCTTCACCTCGCCCCCAAACCCGCTCTGGACGTGCCTAGGAGTGCCACTTCTGCCAACGGAGATGATGGACGGCCTGTGGCGGAGGACGCGGATGTAAACGATGACGCCGTCAGTGTCAAGGCTGATTCTGAGGCAGAAACTATCATCCAGTCCGGCAGAGAGGAGTTGTCGCCAGAGAAGAAGAAGACCTACATTCGACATGTCCCCGGCCAAAACGATAAGAATGGATTGGACCTGGCCTCACGGAAGACTCCCAAGTTCAGTCAGCCTGGTAACTGGCAACTCGGCAAGAGGAAACGACCTGACCACGAGAACGATGACTCCAGGTCGGCCCTTCGAAGTAACCAGAGTTCTCGAGCATCGAGTCCGGTTCCGGCCCTAAAACAGGAAAAGATAGACGAACCACAGGCGCTGTCCAGTATTCAAGGTCCCCCATCTCCCAGTGATGATGTCTCTACTGAGCGGAAACCGGACGATAAGTCTAGGAAACCAGAAAGCGCAACTATTGACACTAGAGATGCTCCTGCCGGTGGGCGTAGGCTTAACCATCGGTCCAACTCCCATGGCCATGAATCTGCTGGGAAATCTGAGTTGTATGCTTCCCGCCGTCAGGACAGGTCTCACTCCCCTCCGATTCGCTCACACAAGAGGGTCACATCTGATTCTACACACTCCCCTCCGCTTTCCAACATCCAAAAGAGAAGAAAATTACCCCCACAACCATTGATGGACCAGTCGAACCATGCTTCGGAAGGCAGAGCCTCGCCATCTTCTGCCTCAAGCGCTGGTTCACCACCTCCTAATCCACGTAATCGTCGACTAACCTCCTGTGACACTTTTCCTTTTTCGCCCGTAAAGCAGGCACAAAATAAAAAGCTACGCGACCAGAATGGCCGAACACGTCTTGCCAGAGCCTGTGCTGCACAGGAAATAGAAGCAGCCAAGTGTCGGCAGGCTGAACGACCAGAGGACCTTAATGTTCCCGATAATGCAGGAAACACGCCACTCCAGATTGCTGCCCTTGAAGGATGTGCTGAAATTGTGAAATTCCTAATCGAGGCCGGTTGCGATATCCACACCAAGAACATTGATCGTGATACACCCCTCATCGATGCGGTGGAAAATGGGCATTTGGATGTCGTTAAAATACTTTTAGACGCTGGTGCAAATCCCCGTGTTGGCAATGCAAAGGGCGACGAACCATACGACCTTGTTCCGTCTGACAATGAGAACCGGCATGAACTACGACGCGTTCTTGCAGAGGCGAAATGCCGTGGTAACAAACGACGGAAGTCGGATGATATCAGTGGGCAAGGGGCTTCCTCAACTAAGGATCCTCGTTCGAGAGGAGCATCAGCTGCAAGCTCACCAGATTCCCCTCCCCACCATGCCCAGAGCCCTCCACCGCAATATAACCGACGGAAAACCGTTAGGAGTGAAGCTACTCGAAATGATCTGCTGTGGACAAAACCAACTTTCGAAAATCTTCGACTTTTTGCTGCAAAGGGTGACATGGCCGGAGTAGCTACCATCCTCAATATTCTCCAGAAGGCGGACACGGAATCCCTGATTGCAGCAGCAAAGGGTGGCCATGATGAAGTGCTCGGACTTTTGCTTGGAATGGGGAACCCAGACCCTGATCCGGAGCCCCTAACTAATGGCAACCACAGAGCCGGCCATGACACTCCCATGCTAGCAGCGATCGGACGAGGTAATATTGATGTCATTAAGCTTCTATTGGACCAACCGGGCTTCAACCCTACCCGTACGGACCACAAGAATCGTCGATTTTTTGAACTTGCAGAAGAACGCAGAGGTGATAACTGGGAACTGGAGAGGGACTTACTGAAAGAAGCATACGACGAATATATCAGTGCGCATCCTAAAGCCCAGAAAGGCGAGTCAAGGTCTCCACGACGGCCACGAGATCCACTCAAAGTTGCCAAAAGGCCGGATCGTGACTCCCCATCTCCGGCCTCTGTCGTTCGTAAGAGCTCGAGTAAGGGTGTCACGTCCCATCGCCAAAACGAGGAAGTGTCTAAAGAAGTGAAGCTACAAAAGGAAAGAAAGAGAGCGGATGGTGTAGCTTCCACGAAGGACAGACTGGCTACAAACAAAGTGTCAAGCCGGGAAGACTCTCATGGCTTAATGGATGAAAGAGATCATGGGCAGTCTGACAGAAAGCATAAAATGCCATCCGACTCCCGTAGCCCACGGGAAGCCACACCTCATAAACATGGCGAAGAACCTGTCAAACGTCGTCGTCTCATTGCTGGACGACCGCCACCAGATCATGCCAAACGAAGACCAAGTGTGATGTCTTCGGACTCATTTTCCGGCCGTGAAGATGTATCCAACAAGGCAGGTATCACCGAAGATTCAAATGATAATGGTTCAAGGTCAGAGAAACGCAACTCTGTCTTGAAACGTTCCCGAAATAGCGTCTCACCAAAGCCTTCGAAACCTCGAAATACCGAGAATGAAGAGGTTCGCGAGAAACATGTCAAGAAACGACGGATACTTTCGAGTGAGCATTCAAGCCAACCCCAAACCACCGTTGAGGGGTCAAAATCGAAGGTCGAAAACGATACTCAGACTTCTAAGCCGCGTTCGGTCCACCGTGATAGTCTTGGCTTGAAGACGGAGGGTTCTAAAGCAGCTGACCATTCGATAAGCCATAGCGACAAGCATCGTTCTACTTCTCGCGACCCTACAGCCACTAAAATCAAACGCAGAGCTTCCGACTCTGGTGTTAAAGCTGAGACGCCATCTGAAAGCAATGCCGCGGCTAAGGCTAAGCATGAAAGTCACGCTGAGAAGGAGCATGCTCCTACGGAAGCGGAGCTTGAAAGAGCAGCGGAAAAGGCTCAAGCAAAAGCACGGAAGGAGGCAGAAGCTGCCAAGATAGCTGCTGAAAAGGCAGCTATTATTGAACGCGAGAAAGCCGAGCAAGAAGAAAGAAGGCTGGAAGAAGAGCGGAAGAAACAGGAAGAAGAGCGAAAACAAGAGGAGGAACGCAAGCGCAAGGAGATAGAACAGCGACGAGCTCGCCAGGCAGAAGAGGAGCACCAGCGAAGAGTGGAACAAGAACGTCTCCGCCAGGCGCGTATACGGAGAGAACAAGAGGAACAAGAACAAAGACGGCGCGATGTCCTTCCTCATCGTCTCCGTACTGCTGCCAACCTAATCGGTGCCAATGACCCGCGAGCTAGGAGTCATGAATTCCTCAAAAGGGTCATGCCCATCCTGCAAGCGACAAGGGATGACCTCGAGCCACTCTGTGATCCCGAGCTGAAGAATGAGAAGTGGATTTTGAACTTCTACGTTGCTCTATTACTTGCGACTAACGATCTTCAGTTGTCACAATGTAGGTTTCTCCATCATTGTTTTTCAAAAGCGTGAATTATTGTGCTAACCGAAACCTGTAGACCCCAGCTGGGAGAAGAGAGTTGCCACACCTACTCAAAGAAGCAATATCTGGGATTGTAGCGGGCCCATGCTATCGAATCCTCAACAACTCAATCCTGTCAAGGCTGGCGGAAATGATTATTCTCGCATCTACCGGGAAACCAAACCATTGTATGAGAAGATGGAGCATGTTTTCTGGGTAAAGGTATGTCACTGTCCCTGCTGCAAAGTAGAAGCAAAAGCATAGAAGCTAACTGCGCAATCAGTGCTCTGATTTTATGGATCTGGTCCCGCATATTCCGCATCTTCACGGCCTTAATATCACTTTTGTTAGCATGCATATCGACCCGGAGCCTTCTGCCTCACTCCAGGATAAATCGCACATTGTCAATGGAGATCACTCTTCTCACCACCCCTTGATCAATGGCACTTCCGAGCCTAACGGTGTTAACCACAGCTCCTAGTCCGTAACCGTGCAATTCCTGAGATGTCACCTCTGGCATCCCCTCGCACGGTTCCTTACTCTGTTGTTTATTCCTCTGTCCAGCGTTTCTTTTTCGTTTTCTGTCCATTTGCAACATACCTCCTGCTGCCTGTTTACTTGCCACCATATTGTTCGAGTTTTTTTCATCCCGTAAAACGGCTGCGTTCATCATTTTGGCGACACGGAACGTTAGATTACTTCAACCGGTGATCATTGGGCTTTTGTATGTAGATGCATGTTTCAAGGCGCCTAGGGGGGTTTTCTGGAAAAGGTGGGATGGCCGGACATGCGCAGGGTTCTTGTGTCTGTGTCTTTCCTGCATCTATGCTTGTTGTTCTTTTGTTGTCTCATGTGTGAGTGTTTGGATGCCCGGAATTTGGTTGGCCGGGTTGTTGGTCGTTGGCTGTTCCATTTCTTATCTTATTATTTCTTTTCTTTTCGTTTTTTTTTTTTTTTTACTTTGTTCGTGATCTCCTCCTATACGAGACTCAGCACGCTTCAGGTGCTCCCGCTTCATCTTGATTACCTTTCTCCTTCGGTCTTTGCAGCGTTATGTAGTCGGAATATAACGAACGAGTCTACTTGCTCTCTCAAATTGTTCTGGGAGGTTGGCGGTGGGTGGCTACCTTACGTAAGCACGCTTTAGGGCACACCCACCAGAAAAATAATTTCCGATCAGCGACTCCGCGAAATATCTTTTTTGCAACCTCGATTTCTCTTTCTCCCTCTTAAACAACCACATATACATAACTCTTTGAGGATCATCCGACATTTAGGAAGTGTCCTTGAAATCAATCAAAATGGTACGTTTAACTCGAGCCAGGCTAATGTTCCATCGACCGCGGTCTTCAGCACCCGCTTATCGCAATATCGCAATACAATATGATACACACCAAACGGGAGAGGAAAAGCAGGACAATTGCAGCTAACAGATCGTTCAATTCCAGTCGGACGGAGAAGAGACCACCTCGAACGCCGGCGTCGTTGCCGCTGATGAAGTTGAAGTTTCCGCCAATGCCACCGCAGGCAGCTCCATGTCTGTCCTGGACGCATTGAAGGGTGTCTTGAAGATCGCTCTTATCCACGATGGTCTTGCCCGTGGTCTCCGTGAGGCTGCTAAGGCTCTTGACCGTCGCCAGGCCCATATGTGTGTCCTGAACGAGGGATGCGAGGAGGAGGCTTACAAGAAGCTCGTCATTGCCCTTTGCTCCGAGCACAAGATTCCTCTCATCAAGGTCCTTGATGGCAAGATGTTGGGTGAATGGGTTGGACTTTGTAAGTCGCCTTGACGTGTCGGTAGTTTTTGGCTGGAAAACAGATGGCTAACCGATTTGATTAGGCGTTCTCGACCGTGAGGGTAACCCACGCAAGGTCGTCAACTGCTCTTGCGTTGTCCTTAAGGACTGGGGTGAGGAGTCCCAGGAGCGTTCCATCCTTCTCAACTACTTCCAGACCGAGCAGTAAATGCTCTCCAATGTTAATTACTGTCTTTTAAATGGCGCTCGTTCAACTACGACCTCGGCTCTCGCGCAAACACTTCGATAGGGTCGTGCTTTACTGTTGACGTGAGCTGGTCTATGGATCTGGGAAGCGCAGGGCATGCTGATATCTTTGCAGATGTTCTGTAACTGGAATGAGACCAGGGTCAACTTGGTTTCCTTCGTTACTTTGATATCTCTTTCGATATATGCCCTTCTGGGAGGGATTCATGTACTTAAGAAGACATGTTGATGTTGAAAAATAAAATAAAAAAAGGATGAACAAACAACACTTTTTAACGCATTGCCTGCCTACGTATATAAGACACCGGAGTGGGTGGGTATATCAATAGTTCACTACAGGTAGAACGGTAACGGCTATACAAGTAACAAAGGGAACAGAAAAGTAGCGCTCTAACGCCAAACAGAGAGCAAAAAGGAAAAAGGAGAAGAGTATGTACAAGATGTCTGCAGGTAAAATAGACAACTCGAGTCGAGCAAGTAGATAAGAAACAGCACCGAGATCCTGCGGCCCGCTTATCTAAATTTATAGGCAGGGAAAACCATCTTGTCTTTCAAAATCGGGTCAAGAGAAAGCTGTTGGTAGGGAGAACTTCCAGGATCATAATACATCCCTTCGATGCGACCAGTTTCACGATGGACGGAGATGTAGTAGAAACCAGATATAGTCAGCCCCTGGCGAGAATGAGATGG